CCCTATCAATGAATGATCTCCAGAACATCCCGTGCTCAACAGCCTTCTTCAGCTCTTGTAAGCTGAAGTCTGTGGCTTCCTTTATGCAGTCAATCCATTTCATATTTAGTTTCCCCTCTTTTCTTGCTCCCTTCCACCTTTCCCAGCATAATCGTCTTTTCCTGAGAACCCTGCCTTCTCAGGATGTGCTCAAAAGTAGGACAGCCTTAGTTTCAACATTTTTACTCCAGAGAAAGTTCAGGCTTGATTTTTGATCTAGGACACCCTTGTTTGTCTTTTTTGGCAAGTCCAGAGTATCCACTAAGCTCTCCTCCAGCACCACATTTCAAACAAATCATTCCCCCCCCCGTCAATGTTCTGCACTGTCCAGCTTTCACACCCATACGTGGTGATCACAGATCTCAGTCTTCTCCTGCTTTCTTGGCTGCAGTCTCCATTGGGACAGATGGCTGGACTAAGATAGACAAAATCTTAAACAATTTCAATTCTTCATGGTCAACATTCAAGCTGTCTCGTTCTGCACTCTGGAATTCGTACACTTCCAACCCTGTGATAACTTTTGCAAAAAAAATAATAATAATACAATGGCTGAAATCCAGTAGAAGCTAAACCGTAACTTTCCGTCCAATCCTCCCTGATAGACTATGTGGGCCGCGATTCTCGGGGCATGGTGTGTGCATGCCCCCAGGCCAGTAGGTGTGCTCCCCTCTGAGAATGGTATCAGGGATAGTTTGCTTGACTGGGGTGCAATGGACAGAAAATTACACTCTGGCTTACACTAAGCAACAGGATTTCAGCCAATGTGTTCCAAAGGTTGACCTCTTTAAAACAGGTGCATGCAAAACCATAGGGACCGAACTCTTCTTTACTTCTGCCTGGAGGTGTTAGCAGAAACGATATCACTTTTAGAGGCAAACTGTGTCAAGCTAAGAAATCAGCATAGCCATTATCTGTTGAGTACTGAGCTGTGTGACTCAGCGTGCAACAGGTAATATCTATGGTGATTCCTAAACTGCAGGCAATTCACCTCCACCACTTATGCTCTTTACATTATGTCTCTTCTGTGCTGTTAAATTGGACCCAACACAGCATGGCCCTAAATAGGACTTTTAAAGTAATTGAAATATTTAAGGAGTGATTTTTACCGCTTCCACTCCTGGCCTTATAAATCTCCACTGCCGAGCAGGGATTTAAACTTAGGTCTGAGTCCATCTGTCTTTCCACTATACCATGCTGGATACCAGTTTTTCCACTATACCCAAACTTGGGTCTCCAGATGTTCTTGGACTACGACTCCCAGAAATCCTGGCCAGCACAGCAAGTGGTGAAAAGGCTTCTGGGAGTTTTAGTCCAAAATCATCTAGGGACCCAAGGTTGGGAAGCAGCACCATTATAGCATCAGCATTATCCCAACATAAAATTACAATAAGATTTTGGCATATGTTTTATTTCATGATCCTTTTGGGGTTTTTTTTTCACTTAATGCATTTTTAAACCTCTCTCTAACCACATTTCCCTCCGACGTGTACAATCTGTTGAAAATACAAAATACTTTAAAATACAAGAGCAGTGCATTAAAATAATGCACTCTTTAAAAAGCAGGACAATGTACAAAGAGGTGAAGAACTGAAACTTTTTAAAGTTTGTAACAGCTGTGAGACAGAAAGCTTTCAAAAAAATGTGCACACACAGACTTATGTTGAGAGGGGGGAGGAATGCAAACTCTAACAATATCCCTGAGAAAATAGCACTCCAGGAAAGGTGCACAGTTTAATGCAGAGAAAGCAAAATCTTTAAGCAATGGCTCTACATGCAGAATGTCTCCGCGCTAGATTTTGGCCGATGAGGTAGAATTTCCTCTGTTGTGCCGGCACCTCTGGAAGCAATGCATTGCACTCAATGGGCCTGGCACTCCCCACACTCCCGGGGCATGTCGCTCAATGCTTTTCAAGTCGTTGAGATAAGTTTATCAATGTATCGGCACTCCAGCCACAGAATTAAAAAAAATATATGGAAAGACATGAGGGACGTGGTGGCACTGCGGGATAAACCGCAGAAGTCCTTGTGTGCTGCAGGGTCAGAAGACCAAGCAGTCGTAAGTTCGAATCCACGCGACGGAGTGAGCGCCCGTCGCTTGTCCCAGCTCCCGCCAACCTAGCGGTTCGAAAGCATGCAAATGCAAGTAGATAAATAGGGACCACCTCGGTGGGAAGGTAATGGCATTCTGTGTCTCATCAGGCTGGCCACGTGACCACGGAAGATTGTCTTCGGACAAAACGCTGGCTCTATGGCTTGGAAACGGGGATGAGCACCGCCCCCTAGAGTCGAACATGACTGGACAAAAAATTGTCAAGGGGAACCTTTACCTTTTATATGGAAAGACAGCTGCTTGGCAGTAATGGCGTCTGCCTTCCCTGGTGAATTTGCTGTGAAAAAGTATTGATAGGATCATACATACATGCCATACCTCTAAGGAATATATGGAAACCCCCTCAGAAGAAAAGACCAGAAGACCCCCCGGCAAGTGGGAATTGAACCACAGTTACACCGCTGGCTACTAAAATGAATTGCTCATGGCTCTGCAACGTGTGACTGCAAAATTTAGCTACCATCTAATTTGGGCATAAATAGGGAACAATTTGGTCATTGGATTACAGCTTTAGTCTTCAAGAACCTTTTTTTTATTTCTTCATCTTTAAGCCACAAGGGCCGGGAATAAAAAAAGCTTTCACTAGAGGGCTGGTGGAAAATTAGAAGCAAATGTAGTGTTTTATAAAGGGCTAACCGTGGCTAATTTAGCATGTTATCGCTCCATCTGATGCTCTCACCCAGATAGTTCTGCATCACACTTTTCATTTCAGCGTTCTATTGTACCGTGTTAGAAATTTCTGCATCCATTTTATTCTGATCTCTTGAGCCTACATTTCATGGATCTTGTCCTCTGTTTAGCGGCTGCGACTTCGTAGTGTTTTATAAAGGGCTAACTGTGGCTAATTTAGCATGTTATCGCTCCATCTGATGCTCTCACCCAGATAGTTCTGCATCACACTTTTCATTTCAGCGTTCTATTGTACCGTGTTAGAAATTTCTGCATCCATTTTATTCTGATCTCTTGAGCCTACATTTCATGGATCTTGTCCTCTGTTTAGCGGCTGCGACTTAAATGAATCTTCAAATGAATTGTACCGGCAAAGAACCTCAGATCACAGACTGCGGAAATACCCCCCACAAAATGCACACGGCCACTGCAGCTCTTCTCATCATTCCTGCTTAGGACACTGATTCCCAGCACTGGGTCCCCAGATGTTCTTGGACTACAGCTCCCAGAAATCATGGCCAGTGGTGAAGGCTTATTGGAGTTTCAGGCCAAGAACATTTGGAGACTCTACATTTGCATCTACCGGGTTTGCAAACAGTGTGACCTTACCAAGGGTGATTTTCCAGGTACTGGAGCTGGCACTTGCAGAATACTCTAATGAGAAGGCTCATGAGTTGCGATGCTGGTGCTCCAGCCCCTGACTTGCTCTGAGTGGCACAATGGACTCAAGTGTATCCTCTTGCACTCGCCTTGGTATTGGCCTCTTGTGCCTGGCTTTTTGGTGGGCTGATGTAAGCCCTATGGACTATTTGGTTCAGCCCAGTGAGTGGGAAAATCTTAGGAAGGGGCTGTGATGCAAGATTTCCGTTGAGAAAGAGCAGGAGAGGTACAGAGGCAGGAGCGGCTGTTCCCACGGAGGAGGAGAAGGTCCTTGCCGCCTTGGTTAAGGGAGTAGAATTTCAATATGTTTATGCAGGAGGGGCCCTAGAAGGATGACTCCACAGAGGGAGCATTCACATTTGGCTTTGTGTTCGACTTGCAAACTTAATCCGTTCCAGAAGATGGTTGTAAGTCAAAATGGTCGTAAGTCGAAGCACCATTTCCCATAGGAATGCATTTAAACACAATTAATCCATTGTGCCCAGGGGGCGGGATCACCAAAAACACAGAGGGATCTCATGCATTCACATTTGGCTTTGTGTTCGACTTGCAAACTTAATCCGTTCCAGAAGATGCTCGTAACTCAAAATGGTTGTAAGTCGAAGCACCATTTCCCATGGGAATGCATTTAAACACAATTAATCCGTTGTGCCCAGGGGGCGGGATCACCAAAAAAAATCCATCAAAACCAAAAAACACTGCAAGACCCATCGGACATGCGATTAATCCGTTGCGGCTGAAGAAAAAGAAAAAAACCCAAAAAACAAACAAACCCTGCAAGACCCATTGGAAATGCAAAAAAAGAAGCTGAAAAAGCAACAATTCCTGCAAGACCTACCGGAAATGCAAAAAACAAACAAACAAAAACAAAATGAAACAAAACAAAACCAAAAAGCAAACAAAACCTGCAAGACCCGTTGGAAAAGCAAAAAAAAAGAAGCTGAAAAAGCGAGCAAGCCCTGCAAGACCCATCGGAAATGCAAAAAACAAACAAACAAACAAAAACAAAATGAAACAAAACAAAACCAAAAAGCAAACAAAACTAATATGAGGCAGTTCCCAGGCAACAACATGTGATTTTTTTTCATGTTTCCTACTGGTTACATTTCTGATTAGCCAAAAGTAACTAGTTACTGAGAACTCTATAAGGCATAACCAGGTGATTCCAGGGATTTGGGCTGAAACATTGTGAAAATAAAGTACGATAGCAGAAGTATATCAATAGTGTTATCTGTTTTCTCCATAAAAACAAGGATAAATAAAGAATAGTGATTCGGGGAAGAACTAGTATGAGAGCAACCACAATATGAGGGTGTTAATGGTTAATTGTGGCTTGGTGACCAAGACGAGAGGAATGCCTTCAAAATCCAGTTATTTGATACTTAACACGGATCTACCAGAATGCCCTGGGCCAGTTTAATGTTTAGTGGGAGGCCGACTGTGTCATTTTTTTAATATGAGGCAGTTCCCAGTCCAGGTCAATGTTTAACTGGACTCGCCAAGTAAGGAGGTACAAGAAGGGTTGCCATGGAAACGGGTGCCCCTTTGACTCAGAGTATATGTTTATAGAAAGAAAAACTGCATGTGGAAGAATTGTGTTGATTGTGTCACGATTCGTCCTGAAAAACAGTTCAAGAAATGGATCCGGACAACGATGTAAAGTGACCTAGACCTTCTCGAGCATCATTCGTCAAAATGTTTCAAGTGATACCTTTCTCAAGGTCACCCCCGTGTTCATGGCTCCCACTCCATACTTTTTGTGCCTGAGGACTGAAATATTTATCGATTTCATCGAGACACGGCCTTTCTCCTCATGAAGGGAAAATCATATCCTTTATTCCCATCCTTGGCGGGCTTCGGCTCTTCTTCCTATTGAAAGCAACTCCTCCGAACTCAGGGAAATGGGCTTGAACGCCTCAAAGACGCGGAGGAATGTGACCAAAGTCGCCCCGATGCCAAACAGAGAAGAGGGACCTCCGGGCTGTGTGGCGGTGTATACTTTCCACAGTCCGCTCCGAGAGACGGGTCCGAACTCATTTGCCTCCCAAATGGGAAGAAAGCCAGTCCTGGAAAGGCACCTTCCACCTCTGAGAGAAACGCAACATGGGAGATACCCCACAGGTAACCAGTTTCTTTCCTTCTCTAAACTTCCCTTTCTCATACTGCTACTATGTGCCATCAAGTCTGTTCTAATTTAGGGTGACCCTGTTCTTGTTTAGTCCTTAATTCATGTCCGACTCTTTGTGACCCCATGGACCAGAGCACGCCAGGCCCTCCTGTCTTCCGTTGCCTCCCGGAGTTGGGTTAAATTCATGTTGGTCACTTTGACGACACTGTCCATCCATCTCATCCTCTGTCGTCCCCTTCTCCTCTTGCCTTCACACTTTCCCAACATCAGGGTCTTTTCCAGGGAGTCTTCTCTTCTCATGAGATGGCCAAAGGATTGGAGCCTCAGCTTCAGGATCTATCCTTCCATGGTGGCCTTAGTAGGGATTTAAGGATGTGTAAGATACTCAAGGAATGGTTTATTATTCTCATCCTTGCCCACAAATGTCTATGGTTGAGCAGGGATTTGAACTCAGGTCCTGGCCTGGCACTTCACCCACTATGCCATGCCAGCTCTCTATGTGTATCTTTTATCTCACAATGCCACAACCTGTGATTTTTCTCATTAAGGCGTTGCTATTATTGTGAGAAAACACGGAGAACCGATGTGTCATTTTTCTGCTCCCATCGCCAAAGCCATTGGATGCAGTGTCCCAGCAAAATAAATAAATAAATAAATAAATAAATAAATAAATAAATAAATAAATAAATAAATGAATGAATGAATGAATGAATGAATGAATAAATAAATAAATAAATAAATTAAAAATAAATAAATAAATAAATAAATAAATAAATAAATAAATAAATAAATAAATAAATAAATAAATAAATAAAAACCAGATCAGACAAAAATTGTAAGCTTAATGATTTATTTAAGCCCTCTTTCCCTGCCGCCTAATGGACTCAAAGCAGTTTGCAAAAATGACGTCTTAAAAAAGAGACTATCTCCTTTCCCTTCTTTGCTTTTACCAACAATAACTTTTATTAAGTATTAAAAAGAGTGGCCTTACTGGCATCATTTAAATGCACGGGGGGGCGCAGGGGTACCTCACAGAGTTAGAAAGGGTGGCCCTATTGCTGAAGCTTGAGTTATATGGGATTCGCATACGCAAGGCAAGGATGGCAAGATACACCTGGGGCGGATTGTGCTATTCCCATCTCAGTTCTACTTTGAACCCTTCTGCTTTGTGTGCACCCCCTTGATCTACAAGAGAAATGGTTGGAGATGGTAGATGTGCTCATAATAGGGAATCCCATTGCAGAGTTTTGAATTTCTTGTAAAATATCTTTTGCTAAGCAGTAGAAGTACGGAGACTCACAGAGGAGAGTAGCTTCAAATTCCCCAGAGAATCTCCTTAACTGGCACTTACAGTCTCGATAGCTCGCTCAGACATTTGTAGGAGGCAAAATGAAAATCTCTCGTTACTTACAATTGTGAAGAGATCAACAGCAAACAAAGAACAGACTGAAGTCTGACAGACTAAAGAAAGGGAAAGGAACACTCGGCAGAGAGGCAAGGTTCTCTTTGAATTCAGAGGCGAGAAGGAATGATTGATGGTAAATCCAGCCCACAAAGGTCCCTTCCAGTGACTCACACCATAAGCAGCATCGGAGACTGTAAAACCTCCGACAGATCCATGACCTTCTGGCAGTAAAAACCTAGGGCAGTTTTGCACCCTTCTAGCCATAAGTATTTGCTCCCTTCAGATTTCACAAATCTGGGTCAAAAATCCAGTTACTCTGGCCATGTTGTGGCTCCGGTTGCCCATCACATCTTAAGACAGCCATCTAAAACTGATGTATAATAAACTGTTGAAGAAAATAACAATCTTGCATGCAACCTAACACTGGTTTTCAGTGGGAAGGAAGCTTTAAAGCCTAATGTAACTATGTCTTGCTATTAGCAAAGTTCTTTCTCCCACCTATGGATTACCTCTCCTCTCTTCCTGTTGTTTTCTTTCCTTTTGTTTACTCTTCCTCTTCCTCTCTATTTTTTGACCCTGAACAGATGGGTCACCCTCTGCTCCTGACCTCTGACCATGCAGCCAGCATGATAGATTCAGTCTCTCAGCATGATTGAAATAGCATTTTCTTTCTTTTAATTTTCTTTTATACATCTGACTGTAACCGAAGATCACAACTGTAAGTTAAGATTTTTTTTTCAACTTAAGATGCCTTTAGAGTAATTTTTAATTATATAAAGTGCTACTGTGAAAAGGGAGCAGGTCTGAGACTTGAGATCCTCTTATGCTTTCTCTGTGCAGTTGTTTATATTTTAAACTTTGCTAATTATAAAGGAATATCCAAGCTCCCTAACATAAACTCCTGTTCAAATAAAGCTCCTTTCCTTCTTTTCAAGAGCCCAGGACTGTTCCCCCAGATCTCACAACACCGGGGGGAGAAACCAGCATCATCAAGCAACATCCTCCACGCAGGTTGCAGGTAAGTTGCATTCCAAAACTGCTACGCTAGTAGTTGTCGACAGCAAAAGCTCAGGGAACACAGAGAATCCTCTGATGGTCGGAGTGTGAGCTTTCTCACCCCCAGTATCTTGCACGTTAGCCAGATTTGTTTTGTGATGGCTCATCACTCAGGATGTAAACACAGGAACCGGTTTTATGTCTGATTGCACAAGGCAAGAATCTCTGTGGATGAACAGCTATCTGTTGGGTCTAGTTTGGCCAAATGACTAAAGCCTTGGCCCCAAACCTGGGTTTCCAGAAGAGCAGAGGTAGCCATGCTGGCCTTTTAAACAGCCATGCTGGCCAAAATCCATCCTGGACTAGTCTGTGGCTTATTGTTGTTATGTGCTGTCAAGTTATAACCCACTTATGGTGACCCTAAAAGGGTTTTCAAGGGAAGTGAGTTATTGACCAATTCCACTCTCCCAGTGAGATTCCATGGCTGAACGGGAATTTGAACCCAGGCCTCCTGAGTCCTCGTCTGTCCTATCCACTACACCGCACTGGAAAAAATATTTATTTATTTGATTTATATACCGCCCTTCTATCCACTACACCACACTGGAAAAAAAAATTTATTTATTTGATTTATATACCACCCATCTGGCAACCAAGGCCACGCTGGGCGGTTTCTACATTAGGTGAAATTTAACAACTCTGCATTACATCTCAACACAGTACACAGATCACGTGGACGAGATCAAGCCTTTCCTCCGTCCTTTCCTCTCCCCTGCCTTTTAAACATCTTATTTGAAGAAGAGAGCTGCGGTGTTAAAATCTTGCACATGTTTAGTGCCTCTACAGAGATCTTGCCCCCGTCTGGCTCCAGATCGCTGGTGCGAATGTATAACCATTGGCAGATTGGTGATAGAAGCTGGGGAAGCCTTCCCCAGTTTGTGGCCTTCCGGGGCTGGCTGGACTACAGCACCCATGGCTGGGTGGGGAGAATGGGCACCGAGCCGAACGAGATTGTCCCAGTCCTGAAGCATTTCCTGAATTATTTGTCAAGGTAGTTGCCCTCTTAGTCTTTAAGGTGTCATAGAGCTGGCTTGTCTGCAAGTACCTTCTCTAAAACCCTGTTCATAATGTAGTTGAATCAGCTGGAGCTTTTACAACCTCACAGGCTGCCTGTAGTTTGAGTAACATGGGCTGAGATGACTGTATACGAGTATCTATCCAGCACTAACCAATAATGCTTTCCTGTGGTGCCCTCGGTCTCCCTAAGGAGTGCCTGGCACTCGGTCAGGAATTCTTTCCTGTGGTGCCCCTTGGTCTCCCTAAGGAGCGCCTGGCACTTGGTCAGAGAGCTCAACAGACCACTGACCTACCACCTTTGCCCAAGACCTCAGTAGCTCAACAGACCGCTGACCTACCACCTTTGCCCAAGACCTCAGCAGTGCGTACCGTTAGCCCTTCGAACAAGTCTGACCTTAAAAGAACACTTTACTTTTACCCAGTACTTTGCAAGTACAGGCACATGGACTTTGTGATTCGTTAGAACTCACAACAACTCAGTTAGGTAGGACTCTTAAAGATATCTAGTTTGTGGCCCTCTCCACTTCCTGGATTTAGCCAGACCCTGCTGTTCAAGAGACCAGTCCTTTTGTAAGAATTTTTATAATTAATTTGCATTAGAAAAATAGAGTTTCATTAGAAACATTTATATTGCACAAGCTTTAGCATAAAGAGCATATTCAAAGATCATCACAGTTAAATTATTATTTGCCATTAAAATAGCAAACACTACTAAGCAGGGTTCAAGTGGGCTACAGTGGAAGAGCCCCATCTCCTTCTTTCACTTTACATCCTCTCTCAATCAAGTTCGTTTTTCTCCCATCATCATAGAACACTATTTAATCCATTCTATTGCAAGCAATGAAACCTTTTATCCTTTCCACTGTTATTGTCTTATAGTGAGAGACTGAGCCTGTAGGTGCCTGTTGATGAAAGAATGGCGTGGGCCCCATTTAAAGGGCTGCTCAGGCTAAGATAAAGAACCACAAAGAACTATATCATGGAGCTTGGCAGTGCCCATCATCCACAGTGACCTGACTTTGCGCGAACATGACATGTGGGCTCGGTCCTCGAGAGAAAGACATTATATTTCTGCTAAAATTAGAAAACTCATTTTAAATTTTGCATTCATGTGTAGAAATGAACAAGAACTAATAATCATGTGCCAGCAGCAGCCTTCCTCAGGGTTTTGTCCCTATAGAGGAATCAAAAGGGGCTTCCCATTCCCTTTTTCGGGAGCTACTTGTGGGACTGTGCAGCTGGCCCAGGGCCACCCAGGTTGGCTCTTCTTCCAGGACGCATGTTAGGGACTCTGACCCCTGGCTCTGCAGCCAGCTGTTCAAACTCACTGAGCTGCTCAGCCACTGATGTATACAGTGGCGCCCCGCATAACGAGCGATTCGTTTAACGACGAATCCGCATAGCGACTGAGTTTTTGCGATCGTTTGTGCGATCGCATAACAATGTTCTTCCAACAGCTGATTGGCGGTTCCAAAATGGCCGCCAAGTAAAGAAAATGGCTGCCCGCTGTGTTTTCGCGCCCTTTCCTCGCTTACCGGGCAGCGAAAATGGCGGCTCTATGGAGGATTTTCACATAACGGTGAGTTTTTTTGCCCATAGGAATGCATTAAATGTGTTTTAATGCGTTCCTATGGGCTTTTTTGTTCCGCATAGCGACGAATCCGTATAGCAACGATTTTTTCGGAATGGATTATCGTCGCTATGCGGGGCACCAGTAAAAAAGGCAGGTCCTCAAATGCCACTGATTCTGTGGGTCTACTCTAGTTGCAACATATTCCTGCATTTCAGCCATTGTGTCTTTAGATGCACAGCCTGGAGAGATTGGAGGCAAAAGCCACCCTCTGTTAGATTTAATGATCTTTTAAAACAGCCAGAAGGAGGCAATGAATGAAAACGAAGATTGAGCCAGGGATAGCTTTTAGTGTTACGTACCGCCACCTAGTGGCCACACTGCAGAAAGCACCTTTTATTCCAAAAATTCTAAAACCACTAGTATGTGCAGATGAGGCTGTTCAAAATCTTAAAAGTGGCCCCGGGTGCTCTTATTAGGGCTAAAATTCCTGGCACACTTTACACCTTGGAGTGGAACTTTATTTTGTAGTAGAGTGGTGCACAGGACTGTGATGAAAAGACCCTTAAATTTTAGTAACGCTGGACAGAACGTAAGGGAAACGTGTCTTATGTCCAAGCAAGCAGGTAGACCTTGAGAGCAATGAGATTTTAAGCAATGATGCTACACAGGACAGGTCCTGCTCTGGACATGAAATAAAGTTGTGACTGGCTTTGGAAGCTAAGCCGGATCAGGCCCGTTTAGTGCGTGGATGGGAGACTAGACCACCCAAGAATACCAGAGGCGCCCGAATGAGAATTTATACAAAGAATCTGGAATCTCTGGCAGCATCTGTCAGTGAAATATCACAGTACAGACATCAACGGAACAATGTTTTGATTGATTATAAGCACAGTGCGTTCTTCGTTTTTCTGTTGGGGGCCATGAAGGCAGCATGGTCTTCATTAAGAGCAAAAGCAAGAACAGAGGGAAAAACGTGCTGTTGGTTTTTAATAAATAGCTTTTTGTATTAACTTTTTTGGGGAGTAAAAACCTTTGAATTGTGGTGCTGGAGGAGACTCTTGAGAGTCCCCTGGACTGCAAAAAGGACAAACCTATCCATTTTGAAAGAAATCAACCCCGAGTGCTCACTGGAAGGACAGATCCTGAAGCTGAGGCTCCAATACTTTGGCCATCTCATGAGAAGAGAAGACTCCTTGGAAAAGACCTTGATGTTAGGAAACTGCAACGGCAAGAGGAGAAGGGGACAACAGAGGACGAGATGGTTGGACAGGGTCATCAAAGCGACCAACATGAATTTGACCCAACTCCAGGAGGCAGTGGAAGATAGGAGGGCCTGGCGTGTTCTGGTCTATGGGGTCATGAAGAGTTGGACATGACTTAACGACTAAACAACAAACAACAACAACAAACCTTTCTGGATACATTTTTAGTCCCTCTGCCCTGATTTTATGCCATTTTATCATCATTTTAGATGGCACTCTCGAAAAATATAATGAGTAACATGAAATTAAGCATCATCATAACAAGTTACTACTACTGAAGAAAAAGACTTACTGTGCGTTAGTTTGAAGTGTTTTGCAATTAGCTACATAACAAATTATTTGTAAAAACAAAAACCCTAATTTGGTTGTTGCTGTTTAGTATTTTATTCGTGTCCGACTCTTCGAGACAGCACAGCTGACAGATTACTTTAATTGCCAGTCAGCCCCTCCTTCAGATAATTTTGGAACAGAACACTAATGCAGGTAGCAAGCAATATACATCAGGCGGTGGAATAAGACAATACATGGTGTGTTCTGCCCTGTTGCCTTTTCCAGATCTATGCTTAGACTAGGAATCTTAGGCTTCCTTCTGCCTTCTCTTTGGGAGGTCACCACTTGTTTTCCCCTCCTCTTCCGTCTGCCATAGGCAGAGGGAAGCTGGCACATATGAAAACTAGTTGTAGGGGATTTCTGTGACCAAGTTTAGATATCTATATCTATCCTGTATTGCTTGCAATTGGATTTTTCAGACAATGAAGAGTAAGCATCCTTTTCTTTCCTTCCTTCTTTCTTTTATAAAGGGTACTACTTTTTTTGATTTATTATTCCTTCTCTACAGTTTCACTAGCCTTCTGTAGCTCATAGGTAAATAACAAATGCATCTCTGCCTGACCAACATTTTTTTTGTGCGGATGGCTGGCTGTTAGGATACCTAAGTGGGGCCGACATTATTCAGGCGGATGCTTGTGCCTGAAAAATCAGATTTCAAAGGAATTCTGTGGTCAAATCCTGAAGACCAATCACAAAACAAAGTAAGAGAATTTACAAACTACACGAGGTGAGAAAAAATGCACTCAGATGCTTGCAACAGTTGAGAAACCCCTTCTTCTAATGATGGGTTATTAGTAATACCTGTTTTTGCCCTGATACTTGGTTAACAAGATTTTGGTGAGGTTTTGCAAGAGCCTGGGGGGACTTCTCTGTGGTGCTCCGACAGCGTGGGGAACCATAGCAGCAGGAGGCAGAAGTGGGACCTGCCTTGGGTAGCAAAATAGCTGAGTAACTAAGGAGGAGTTAATGCATCTAATTTTTCTTGGCTTTTGCAGAAGCTGGAGCCCTTCATTTTGGCAAAAGACGTTCTTCCTGATAAATACTGGAGCCTGCAAGGTGGGGTAACAGGACACAAAGCAAAAGTAGGTGCTTCAAGAATAATCAAGGTGGGAGGAGACACACAGTTTGATCTCTTAGGATCCAACTAGATGCTAAATTAGGCAATCTTTCAATTTAATGCTGGCCATTAATTCCTTCCCCACTGCTAAAGAAGTCATGGGGGGCTCTTGAAACCGAGCAGGACTTTGACACACGAGGTAGATCGACACCAGCACAGTCTCCTCCTGTCTCAGCTACAGATATCCCACAGGGGTGGACAGGATGCTGATGAAATTGTGACCTTGTCATATAAAAGGTCTGTGTATCATTTCTACCCTCTTCTGCCCTGGAAGGAACTAGAGAAGGGAGGACCGGCTGTAACACACCCCAGAGCAAGGCGGCAGTATTTGCTTCAGATGAAGATGCTGGAAATACGAAAAGAGGTACTGTAATGGGAAAGTAACTTAAAGAAAGATGCTGTTGATCCATTAAAGAGGAAGAAACAGGGATGATCCAGTAATCATACAGAGGAGAGGCAGAATCTGTTTTCCATCATCCCAGAGTTGAGGACACGTCAAAAGAGGAAGCCAGATTTAGACTAAGTATCAGGAAGAACTTCCTAACTGTTAGAGCAGTACGACAATGGAATCCATTCAAAGAAAATTTAGACAACCAGCTGGCAGATTTGCTTGGATTTGAATTCCTGCCCTGAGCAGAGGCTTCAATGGCCTTATAGGCCCACTTCTATCACAGTTACAGTATTATAGGATTCTATTCTACGGGTCCAAGTAAGTTGATGGGGTGTCTGTTTTGAGGAGTTAGGTAAGGCAATCACAGGCTGAAGTTCTCTAGGGCAGAACTTTGTGGCTGGGATGCTATTGAGTCTCTGCTGAAGTAGAAAGTCAGGGTGGATCTGGCTTAAATCAAATTGATTTAAATCACTACGACAATTTTAAAAATCTGATTTTTTTGACAATTTAAATGATTTTTTTTAAAAAATTAAATTTTGTTCTAAACTGATTTAAATCACTACAACAATTTTAAAAATCTGATTTTTTTTGACAATTTAAATGAATTTTTTTAAAAAATTAAATTTTGTTCTAAACCATGATTTCAATCAAATTTATTTGTAAACATTATTGATCCGTATCCACTCTTCCACTAGCACAGTTAGCATGGGCGTGCCATCAACGTGCCCTCGGTGTGGGCCAGTGGTGTAATCCATGCTATTTATTACGCTGGTGGGACTTTCCGCTCTGTGGAGGCCTGATAATATACTGGCCTATAATATTTCATCACCTCTACCACCTGCAGTGCTTAGTTGGTCGATCTTAAATTAATTTTAGCAGATGACATAATTTCATCTAGTTAATGGATTCATCATCTGACTTTTAGTCAAATAGACTGCAGTGTAAACATTGCATAAACATGAGTTAGAATCTGTATTTGTCTTATCTGCAATGCTAATTTGGTTTCCTGCCTCTTCGGCTGTCAGGATTTCCCTCACGAAGATTCCAGAGATGTGAAGGATGCAGATATTTCTGTTAGGCATCCCCTTGATAAACTACAGTTCCCAGATTCCCTTGGGAAAGGAAAGATGGTTAACCCACTGTTTACATACTTCCAGTGAAGAGTTACTTATCAATGCAGGCAGAACTCAAGAGACGTCTGCAGGAGGAGGCAAGGTTTAATCAGCCCCAAACACGGGATCTCAACATACCGAGAACCCTGGGATGTTTGCAGGGTGATCATGGCTCTGATGATGAAGATCTGCTTGGCGTAGTAGAGGACCACCAGGCATTGAACAGAAACCATGGTAAGTTCGGTCAAAAACTTGCAACACACTGTTCCACTTTGGTCCGCGTTCATCTAGAAATCCGGTGTTCGGTTCCAGGCACCGCTGTTTAAGAAAGACATTGACAAACTGGAACACGTCCAGAGACGGGAAACCCAGCGGTTAAAGGGTCTGGAAAACAAGCCCTACAAGGAATAGTTAAGGGAATTCGGCATGTTTAGTCCGGAGAAGACTGAAAAGGGGTAGGATAGCCCTCTTCAAAATATCTGGAAGAAAGAACAAGTTGGTTTACTCTCGCTCCAAGGGGTTCAAAGCACAAAAAGGGACATTCTGAGTAACCGTTAGAAGGTCTGATCGGTTCCACGTGGGAATGGACCACATCAGAAGAAAGCAGGCTCAAATTTGCTGGAGGTTTTTGAACCACAGTTAGACAGCCAGCTGTATGCTATGGAGTTCCTCCACTGGTAAATACTGAGCTAGATGGAGCTTTGTATTCATATACGAATACCCCCACACAGTTCAATTTAATGAAGGTCCAGTCAACTGGGCACACTGGAGCAATTGGAAGGATGTGCAGGGCTGGCAGCAGTGGCCGCGGACACGTGAGTGGACGGTGTGGCCCTGGGGACTGGACCCTTGCTCATTTGTGCAGTGGATACAAATACCTCCATCTCTAGCCATAACCCATTCTGGGAGTCTTGGGCATTGGAGAATTTCAGTTGGACTCCCTTATGCACAGGAGTATTATCCGCTAATTCAATTATCCACGGTCTGAAAATACTAAAAGAAAATTTTACCAAAACATGTTTGCAATGAAGTTACCAGACCTGGCCACTAGAGGGAGCCAGAGATCATACATTCACTACAGAAATACTGTAGAGTTTAAAGATTTCATTACCAAAACTGGTCACTAGGTGGAGACAAAGACCATGCTATGTATAGCGTTCGCTATTTTAATAGCATTCTACATTTCTCAGCATGTCATGGAGGACTTGGAATTGATCCCCGACAGATACGAGGGTATTGCTGTAATTTCTTCCTTCTTTTTCTTCTTTCCTTCCATCAGAACTGTGGAGGACGCCTATGTATGTCAGATGCAGAAGGATGCGAGACCGTGGGCACAGTGGTCCCGGTTAGCCACTGTGGGAACCAGTCTAGCTTTGATTCCATATTCTCCTTGCTTTTTCTCTTCCATCCATTCTCTTTCTCATTTTCTCTTGGTCACCCTTGTGCTTGCATGCACGCACGCAATGAAGGCAGAAGCATATTTTGGTACTTGAGGCAATTGGCAGCATCTCTCACCCACCCCACTCTGAGGCACAGACACAACGCCCTCTGCCCCCATGAAAAAGCAAGAGGAGAATGTGGGGCGAAGGTTTAGTCTTTCAAGAACAGTCATTGGGCCTGGAGGTGCTGCCATTTATTTTCCTATTTCCCAGTAGGTTCATCCACAGATTTTGGACCCTCTAAATTCTAGTTCCCTGGGGGGCAAAAGCTCCTTATGATTCTCCCGTGCTCAAGTCCTACTTGAAGAGTACAAGTCCCAGAACCTCTCCCCCCCAAAAAGATTCAAAAAGAAAGTCCCCAGACATTGAGTACAGTAGGGGGGCCTGGTAGATGCTGAAAAACACGAGTTATAGACAACGCTATTTTAATAACAAACACGATACATAGCATGGTCTCTGTCTCCATCTAGTGGCCAGTTCTGGCAACTCCACTTTTAGAATCATTTTTAGGATTTTTCTTCCAATATTTTTAATATTTCCGCACGATGGCTCAGTGAATCAGTGCATATGGATCCCGTGGATATTGGGATCCTACTGTACTTGGTCAAGGGTGATAGTCCTGGTGAAGACTAAGTAATCCAAGATCATCCGTGCCGTTCAAGTCCACCCCAGCCAGGGTCGGTGTGCTTCCTTTGACTTGCTATCCACTCCATGGGAGTTTTCTTTTGCTTCTTTTATCAGCTGATCTGCGGAGCAGAGGACATTTTAAAGAACACGAACCCTTTGAATCCCATCTTGGACAGCAGGGTAAAGTAGAGGCATGGCTGCTGAGTCAGCAGTCAAGAAGGGAATCTTCTTCCGATGAGAGCAGCACAGACTCGGATATCTGGGAATACCCTCGCCGGAAACCAGCCTTAGTGCGAACGAAGACGGAAAGAATCACCCTTTTTGATGGTTTTTTTGATCAAGAGTTATGATCTGAAGCCCAGCCTTCTAAGAATAAGTGACACTCATTTATCCCCAGATCAAAACAAAACAAAACCCACCACATTTTGACTATATAGAGTATTTGGGGGGGGGGGGGGAAGAACACACAAGATTTATTTTCTTGCAAGGACTAGCACCTGCATTGAAAAGTAGAGGAAGGAGGGGTTGGGTTTCATTTCAGCGAATCAATAAATAATCATTTAACCTCTAAGCTCCAGAAGCTGTTTGCTTTCCTTACAAGAGGGTTTTAGTAATGCAACACCTGATGAAGGAAGCAGGAAGCTTCGTCAGATAAGGGACCAGAGGCTAAATGGTTTAGAAGGCCAAGATGAAAGAGATAACTTACTGTGCTGAAGATGTGCAAATACTAACCTAGATCATTTAATCTTTTTTTACTTGCCTTCTTCAGCCCTAGAGAGTGCATGAAATGAGCCACAAAGCAAACACGCACACACACCCCTCCCAAACTGGCCGTTTCATGGTTTGCTTTAGGGCGCTTCGGCCAAATGTGCCTGCCAGAACAGAAAAAACCACAAACTTTTGTTGGTGTTGGTGATTTGTATGCTTCGTTTGGGGGCTGGTATTTTTTTTGGGGGGGCTATAAACTTGGACACCCCAAATCCAATCTTTGTCAAATATGGAGGGGGCAGGGAGGAGAGCCAGCTGAAGACTTGCTGTAAGTTTTGTGTCTCTAACTCATGCAAGGTCCATTTCACCACTCCCCAAAGTACACATTCCGCACGAACCACAAAACAGATCACTTTGTCACAAAGTTTGCGGTTCGTGAATAGCAACAAACCATCACAAACGGCTTTTCCCCCGGTGGTTGCCCATCTCTGTCCAGTAGTGACACCATGGGCTTTCCTAGGATTGTTTAAACAGTCTGGTTTGATTAGGTGGGCCGAATCCAGTCTACATGGTTCTTCCCTGCACCTCAGGGTACCTGGAACTGGACTAAGCAAAAGACGCCAGAGTGACTTGAAGGAAACAACAGTTTTGCTCTGTGGGATGCTGATCGTGCCTAATTAATAATTTTTGTGCAATCAAGCCAGTTCTGACTTATGGCAACCCTTTATGGGGTTATAGAGTACTTGGAAAGTTGGCTGGACAGCTCAGTGAGTTAGAGACCTGTGTGAGGAAACGGAGATTGGAAGTTCAATTGTACATCTTAGAAGAGCCAGCCTGTGTACCCTTGGACAAACTGGACAGTTCCGGGATATCCCTAGAGGTCGGAAACTGTAAACCACTTCGGAGTATCCTCTGCCTGGAAAACCCTGAAAAATGGTGGCCAATAGTCGGAATTGACTTGACAGCATATGAGAGTACAGTGGTGTCTCGCTTACCGATCGCTCCGTTGAGCGACGAAATCGCTTTGCGACGCTGTTTTTGCAGTGTTTCCTATGGGGAAAAATCGCTTTGCGATGATTGCGCGGAAGCGATCACTGCAAAGCGCTCATTTTTTAACAGCTGATCGGCAGTTCCAAAATGGCTGCCGCAAAAACAAAATGGCCACTGCCGTTTTGCCTCGCTCTAGAGACACCCAAAATGGCCACCGCTATGGAGGAATTTTGCTTAAGGTTAGTTTCTAAGCCCATAGGAACGTATTAAACATGTTTTAATACGTTCCTATGGGCTTTTTAAAATCGCTTAGCAATTAAATCGCTTAGCAACGTTTTTCCTGGAACGGATTAATGTCGCTAAGTGAGGCACCACTGTACTCTGAAGCACTTTAGCATTCTGGGACTGTGCAGTTTGGCCAAGATTACCCAAACTGGCTCTTTCTTTTGGGATGCATAATGGGGGATCAATCCCCCCACCTCTACCTATTTCACGCACCCTCCTGGTAATCTCTTAGTCCATTCATGTTCAAAATCCAGTTAGTAAATCCCACCTAGGCTAGACTCACTGAATCTATTGTTAAATGGCAAATCGATAAAAACCTCATTTATTCTATGAGTCTACTCTAGTTTGGGTCTACTAGTTAAGAGTCAGGTTATTGCTTTTATTATGTACACTTGAAACGCAAATCTGCTTTCAATCCGTTCCTTCAGCATCTTAAAAGACCAATTTCAGGATGCGCTTTCATGGATGACAATTTGCTTTCAGTGCATCCCACACCGTCAGTAGATTTATCCTGTTCCCTGCAAAGAAATTCCATTTTCTCAGTAAGCAATCCAAAACTAACTGTTAGGTACAGACATGCACACCCTTTCGAAATGTTCTTTATACAGTATTTTCAAATGGGTTTTACAGTATGGGGGATAGTGGTTTAGTTACCTGGATGCGGAACCAGAGGTTGGGAGTTTGATTAAAATGTTCTTTATACAGTATTTTCAAATGGGTTTTACAGTACGGGGATAGTGGTTTAGTTACCTGGCTGCGGAATCAGAGGTTGGGAGTTTGATTCCCTACTTTTGGGAGAAGAGCCAGCCTGGGTGGCCTTGGGCAAGCTGTACAGTCCCAGAGCAACCTCCAAGGGGGGAAATGGAAAACCACTTCTGAGTATTTTCTACCTAGAAAACCCTAAAAACAGTTGCTGTAAGTCAGAATTGCGGGGATAGTGGTTTAGTTACCTGGCTGCGGAATCAGAGGTTGGGAGTTTGATTCCCTACTTTTGGGAGAAGAGCCAGCCTGGGTGGCCTTGGGCAAGCTGTACAGTCCCAGAGCAACCTCCAAGGGGGGAAATGGAAAACCACTTCTGAGTATTTTCTACCTAGAAAACCCTAAAAACAGTTGCTGTAAGTCAGAATTGACATGGACGGCACACAATTATTATGGATTAATTATAGTAGGTTAATTGCCATGTTCCACAAGAAGAGGTAATAATGTCTGCTCACTTGGATGAGGTTGGCCAAGTCCATGAATAAGACTATCAAGCACAAATAATTATAACTAGAGGTTACATCCACTATCGAAGGCCGTATGGCCCTATATGGGCCTTATGTACCAGCTCTTGGAAAACATGCCCCACAAGAGCGCTAAATTTTGCTTTTGCAGACTTTGTACATGCTACTGGTTGGCGGATGGGTGAAAAGAAAGAGGGGCTAGACAGATTTTTCCAGATGCACCTTGTCAGGCCCCATCCAGCTCAGGTAAGAAATTCTGATAGACAGGTGACACTTTCATCTGGCATTACCACCAGGATAGTTGCTGAGAGAAATGCAAGCCTGATACAATATGAAGCGAAAAAAACCCAACAAAATACAATAGGACTCCCGTATCTGCAGGACTGGTGTCTGCTAATTAACTTATCCACTGTTGGTAAATATTAAAAATATTAAAAGAAAAATCATAGAAATATATATTTCTAAAGATGAAGTTATCAGAACTGATCACTAGAGGGAGCCAGAGACCATGCTATGTATCCTGTTCACTAGGTAAAGATATTTCTAAAATGTCATTACCAGAACTGGCCATTAGAGGGAACCATGGAAAATGCTATGTATTGCATTTGTTGCTCAAATAGTGTTTGCTATCTTCCACATTTTTCAGCATCTGTTGACTTTGAACCACTCCCTTGGGCGTACCGGGATCCTACGTGGATAGACTCTTCCTATCTGGTAATCTGTTGAGTTATGGGAAACAAAATACCTTTTACTACCTTTGGATTCCTCTTTGAGGACTATAATCCAACAAGAAAGTTTAATAATAATGTTTTGGCAAATGCAGGGACCTCTAGAAATGCTGAGGTCCCATTTAGCCCACGGGCCCTGTGTTGCCGACCCCTGCTTTAGTTTCTACGGCTATTCAAATACTACAAGCTTCTCCTTGATTGCACCGATCCAGAGATCGGGTGAGCCATCTGTTCGAATGCTCCCTTTGCACACAAAAATAGCACAAGGGAGATTAGCACCATAGTAGCCATTGCAGACGGCTGAAACCCACAGGATTCAAGAGGGCCTACCAGTTTAAGACAAGTCTATACCTGCAGACTAAATGGAATAGGTACATGTCTGTACATGTACAGACTCAGTACCTTCATTCAGGGCTCAGCCTCGGCAGGGCCGGCTCTTGAATCTGAGCTGCAACAATCTTATAAATGATGCAGAGACGAGACTTCAAGAATAGGGGTTTTGGCTTTCGCTTCTCCGTACATTTTGTATCCTCAGTTGACTTAACTGGACACTGGTTTCAGATGGCACGAGCCTCTTAGAACAAAGCGTACGATGGCTGCAGGAAAATCTACCACACATTAAACGTTATCTAGTAGGCTTTGTGTTTGCTAAGGCAATGGGCCCTCAGCAAGACTTTTGTCTTGCTTGTCTTGTCTCTCTGTGGGCCTTATCCACCACTGGGGGGCTGGTTGCCAACTTACAATCATGCCTAGAGTTATGTTGATCCAGGAAGACTTTCCTGATATTCTTATGCTCGCCAGCGAGGATGCATGTCTGAAGGCTTTTCCCTTGCCAACCACACAGAAGGAAAGCCTCCCTATATGTAGAAATCTAGCAGATGAGAAAGCAGCTGAAGCCAGAAAGGTGTCAAGCTCCTGTGATCTAACAAACTGGGATTTTTAAAACCACCACATCAAGGTCCATCAAATGGAAACAGGTTAAAAATTGTGACTCGGCTGAAAGAACGTGTTTTCAGTATCGAAACTAGGCTTACTCTCCTTTCACACACAAGATTACACCGACCTCTGTCGCTCTTTGCCATCTAAATCCGAGGAAGCTGTTTCGTCTCCAGTTCAGTGTCTGGTATCAGTCATGGACTGGATGAAGGAGAATGAACTGAAACTTAATCCCGACCAGACAGAGGTGCTCCTGTTTGGTCAAAAGGCAGAACAAGGATGAAGCCAGGGCAGGATGCGCTTGCGCTCCTTCTGGAAACAACGGGTGCAAAGCTTGGAGGTGCTCCTGGATTTGTCTCTGAGCTTGGACGTCCGGGTTTCAGCAGTGGCCAGGAGTCCCTTTCCACAATTAAAACTGGTGCACACCAGATGTGCCTGTTCCTGGAGAAGTTTTGATCTGGCCACAGTCTGACACATGCCTTAGATACATCTGGATGGATTACTGTAATGTTCTCCACCTGGGGCTGCCTATGGAACATGTCCAGAAACTTCAATGGGTCCAAAATGCAGCAGCAATTGCTCACCCGGGCTGGTCACAGGGATCATGTCCCGTCCCCTCCCTAGAACAGCTCCACGGGCTGCCAATCTGTTTCCGGGCTGAATTCAAGGTGTTGGTTCGAACCTATAAAGCTTCGGACCAAACTATCTCAAGGACCACGTCTCCCTTTATGAGCTGGCCTGGATACTAAGATGATCAAGAGAGGCTTTTATCCCCATCCTGCTACCTTTGCAGGTGTTTCTGATCGGGACAGGGGAAAGAAGGGCCTTCTGGGTGGCTGCTCCCAGAGACTCTGGTACTTCCTCCCACTGGAGGCCAGGCTGGCCCGCTAAGATGATCAAGAGAGGCTTTTATCCCTATCCTGCTAACTTTGCAGGTGTGTCTGATCGGGACACGGGAGAGAAGGGCCTTCTCGGTGGCTGCTCTCAAAGACTCTGGTACTCCCTCCCACTGGAGGCCAGGCTGGCCCCCTCTTAGCTGTCCTTCTGCAAGCAGGTCATGACCTTTTTCTTCAGGCAGGGTTTTCCTTCAGGGACTGGTGCCTGAGTGGGTTTTTCCAATGGGTTGTTGTACTTTACTGCTTTGAATGTGTTTTGCTGTTGCCTATGCTTTTCCTGTATTTGTTTCATCCTTTTTTAGTATTTGTATGCTCACTGTGGTTAGCTTTAATATTGTCTTTTAATGATTTAAACCATCTTGGGTCCTTTTACAGAGGAAGATGGGGTAAAATATGTTAAATAAATAAACAAATAAGTTTATTCTTGGCTCCCCACTACTCAACTTTCTTCATTTCAGCCGTGTAATGGGGCAGTGGGGGTGAGAAAAATCCTTTTGTCACTGCTCCAGAGTGGTCATAATTGACCAGATAGGCGGGGTATAAATTGAATGAATGAATGAATGAATGAATGAATGAATAGAAATAGGCCGACTGTGGTTCGTTTAAGTCTACAGCAGAGCTCCCTACCTTTTGTCAATGTGCAGGGTTTTTTCCTCCCCATGGGAAAAAAATGATAAAAGCAGATAATTCACACATACAGTCTTAATCTACAGCAAAAAGTTATATATCCAAGAAGAGTTATTCTAAGTACTAAATAGCTCAGTGTGTCTATGTATGTATGTTTAAAATCCTGGTACATAATCTTGATCTAAAATTTGCTTTCAGCACCAATTCTTCAAGAACTAAAACAATAGAGAAATAGCTGCTATTGACCATTAGCCTTAGAATAACCCCAGTGTGATACCAGATCCTTTAGCATCTAGCAGGTTTACTGAGAATGTGGAAACAACACTGGCTCCTTCCATGCTATGAATAACATCCTTTGGGGCACACCTCTGGCATACGTTTCTACGAACGGGATGCTCTGCGTTGTAAGGAGTTGCAGAATTCAAGCAGCATTAAGCGAAAGGGGAGGGAGAGGACAGTTATACACATTATGCCTGGAGAGAAGGGTCTGTTTTAAATTAAAATCCTTTATTTTTTCCCAAATACAATTCACAACTTATACATAGTGGGGGAGATGCTCCGTCTGTGCAAAATAAGGATGGCCTTCCTTTAAACTTACTAAGGTGTCCAGAATGGGTCTTTCTCTCCAAAGGGTGACTGGAGGTTGGCTCCTCTCAAACGTACAGTAACGTGAATCATTTTACAGAATGATCGCTTGACTCCTTAACGTACAACGTAGTAAGGCAAAGTTGAATTCTGCAGATTTCCCTCTTAACGTTAAGTTGAAGCAACTTATTGTTCTATAATTCATCTAGGGTCATTTTTAATGATATTTGCTTATATATGTCACAGACCAATGCTGTCATTGCTGAACTGCCGAATAGAAGTGATTAGCTTTACATATTGCACTGACAGACAAAAGTACACACTGTGTAACTGCTGGGGAGAAAATGTTGGTTTTAACAAGCCCATGTTTGAAAGGGAAGGAAGTTCAGATCCAGCCTTTGGACACTCATCTGCCAAAGAATTTGGAAGAAAATTAAAACTGCAAGAGTTTTGGCTTTTGTAAAAAAAAATTTTTAGAGAAAGCGAAATGCTGACACGGTGGTGCACTTTAAAATTTGTTTTCAGGACCAAAAATTGAAGGCTAAAGCACTGTAGAACACAAAAGCAGTATGATTCAAAGCAAAATGAATCCAAATCAAAGTATAAGTTGTTCCAGCTGCTTTAAAATAAATGCTTCTTTAGCTATTCTAGCAATAATTTCCATTTTTAAAAATCCAATTTCCATTCATTTGCTGTTTATTTTTTTAAAGCCCCCTTGATTCTCTTTAAAGGAAAAAGTGCATCTGACTCCCTTTTAGCAGCTACTCAAGGTAATTGTTTTTTTTAAAAAAACATAGCTTACAGTTCTTTCTAGAAGAGAAGAGCTTTTCAGACCTTACATGGGAGAAGTATCCAAATCATAAATGAAATAATTTATTATCAAATTCAGAATTTAAATAAAAGCCATTCTTGCAACGACAAAGAAAAGTAATCAAGAAAAAGAAAAAAAGCATGCATTCAAAAATTAGCAGTGGAGACAAATATACGTTATCTATACAGGCACTGGCAGACGCAATTTAATTGTTACCGTTACTCGATGTAACACACACCCCACCCTACAAATACATTTTTTTCATCCACTAATCACTGAGGTACCAATATTTAAGAATGGAAAGTTCAATATTGAAAAAATAAAACCTAAAGTTGAAGCTGTGTTTATTTTCCCCAGGAAAAGAAAAGAAAAACCCTATGGTGAGTCTTGTATGAAATGTTAGTATACTTATAGAATTTTACAATCTACGTTGGCTTTCCTCTCTCTCAAACAAACAAACAAACAAAAAATAAGAAGAGTTGTGTTCCACATACACAGGTTCTCGGATAAAATGTTCATCATTTTATATAACAGGAGTCAGTAGACTTGCAAATGAAAAAAAAATGAGGAGGGGGGGTTTTGGGGGTTCTTGGCTACCTGGCGGCACTTCTTCCCGGTGACCAAGAGGATCTGAAGTCCGAAACAACCTGTCGTAAATTCAGAACAAGATGCGCCATGCCACACAGTGCAACGATTTGAGGTGTGATGCTCCACGGGATAATCACGGAGAAGAGCCGTATGGAAGTTAGGTCCACTTGCAAAGCAATTCCACACAAACGGCACTGCATGCAGAGGACGCCACCGTCGCTCCGTGGGCTGGGGAGAAAAGTCCCTTCCTCGTTAACGCAGCCACAGTTTAAGGCGCAGTGCATCGACTCCGTTTAAATAGTATCTGAACAGCCTCTTGTCTCGCACAAAGCCGAGGTTTTCATAAAGTTTCAGCGCAGACTTGTTGGTGATCTCGGTCTCCAAGACAACCTGCAAAAGAGGACACGCTTGTTTGAAGGACGGAAGAATCCAAACGACTGTGCAGAAAACCTATAAAGTCAAGCTGTCATATGCGTATCTAAGCAATAGCAAGTGTCTTGACAAAGGAGAGAGAGGGAGGGAGAGAGAGAAAGACAGTGTTATAAATCAACTTCCCATTCTGTGTCACTGGAAGAGAACCACAAACAGATCCCAGAACAACAGGAATCAATCTGTCAATTCGAAAGCCAATCCTCAAAAGTCTTGTAATGCACACTTGTTGTTTTTTTAGCATGTACTTTATTTGCAAAATGGGACCATGGCTCTCTTCTATCCATAACCTGTAGCATAGTGGTCTGAATACTGGAGTGGGGAGAGGGAGAGGTAAGTTTAAATCTCCATTGGTTGTGGAGGAAGGGCAGATGTGACCTGAGAGTCCCTTCTCCCTCCTAAGGCCACTTGTTACATGAGATGGTTGCTTGTGGTGGTTTTCTAAATAAATGTATTTCAACATCACCTTTCCTTTGGGTTGAAGGATCCGTCTTTTGAAAGTTGGGGTACAGACCATCAGGGAGGGGCTGCTGCGAAAGGGCAGAACTCATGCTTTGCATGCGGAGGGCCACAGATTCAAACCTGACCTCTTCAAAGCAGGTCAGGAAATATGTACAAAACCTTCAAGAGTCTGCCAGTCTTGTGCAGAAGATCTGATTCATCGTCAGGCAATTTCTGATGCTTCCAATTTCAGGAAGAATAAACGAACAAAACACACCGGCTAATGGATCGCACAAAGGTCAAAATGGGAGGAGGGAAAGAATCCTGAGTGTTTTCATACATACACACAGAAAAGGGTAAGAACAGGTACTCTTAGATGCTACAAGGGTCTTCAGAGACTGATTGGGGTGTTAATTCAATGAATCTATCTCACTGATCGTCAGACGATCTTACTAGATAAAACCGGCCTCATCTCCCTGTAAGCCACTCAGCATGAAAACCATGTGCTTGAGTGACAGGCAGACAGGCGGTCATGGAGGCTGAGGATTGAACGTGTTCCCTGAAAGCTCCACTTGAGACAAGCAGCTGTGTTATGAGAGACAGAATGCGTAGCTTCCAGAAAGACCAGCACCCTAGGCCTGAAAAGAAGATGGGAGACTTGCAAGGGAAGATGGAATGGTGATGGCAGACTTGCAAGGGAAGATGGAATGGTGAGCCTTGATACCAATCTGCAAAGAGTTGCAAGAGTTAAAGTTTCTATATCAGCAAGAAACTTGAAAGAACATTCTAAATGTGAGCTTGTTTGTTCGGAGAGGAATAGAAGGCTGGCGGGAACCAGTTGTCCAGACAAGAAAAAGGGAAGCAGGATGGATGGAACAGGGACTGAAGTCAAGGAAGCAAACTGTACATGTGCAAGATAGCAACCAAAGACTGTACCTGCCCAGGTAATCAGGGGGCTGCTCCCTGCTTGCTTAGGCCCACCCAGGTGCAGCCCACAGGCACAGCCTGTAAGGAAGCTGCCCACAAGGAGGAGGACCCAGGAAGAGACGGTGGGCTTCGAAGAGCGCTGCGACGTTGCTCCCATGGCTTTCACCGAGGGACGGATCAACCATCAGGGAAGTTTTATGTGTGTGAGTATGTGTGCATGTGAAGTACGGCACCTTCGTCTTCCGTTGTCTCATGAATTAAAACAATAAATGTTACATGAACAGTGTTTACGCTAAGAATTTTGTGTATGGTCCCCTTGTCTGTAGTCTCGCTGGGTCCCTCTACCCAGGATATAAAGAACCGTAATCCCACGGGTAACAACTGGCTGTGGTCCTTTCCAATAAATGAATGGGGCTGCGGGCAATACTGCACTTTTATTTCTGGGCGTGCACCTACATATTCCGGTGCATATTGCCGGTCATATCCAGATGGAATACTCCCTTGCACCACTTTGAATGTGCAAGTACTATAAACAGACAAAAACACATTTGCCTTTTTCTTATAGAAAAAAACCCAGTCAACCGAGCTTAGAGCACACTGGGATTCAAATTGGCTGGAGCGTGAGAGAGAGCGGAGCCGTGAATAAACCCGCAATTTGTCCGCTAGCCATTTCTGTACTAGATCTGGCAACGCAACTCTTCCTGATGAACAAGCCCAACTCCCTGCTGTCAAGCCCTTGACTGAAAACCATTATTTGCGGGGGACTCAAAAACGACATGCTTTCTCCAAATCCTTCAAACACCTCAAGAGTGCTCAGGGAAACCCAAAGGCTTTGGAGGGGAATTCTAAAGCAGGAACAGTTTTACGGCTCTCAGTTGCTTGGAAGCCTATCGAAAAGTCAGGGGCTGGTCTTAGCTCGTCGCTGTCTTACATCTGCTTGAGCAAATGCCTGCTGGGTCAAAAAGGGTTGCCTTCCCCGTGATTTTGGTTTTTAGCTGTGCTCGGACAACTCAACAGATCCATTGCCTGCATTTGTCACATCACTAGGATAACCGGCAGGCTGCACATGTAGACATGGGTGTTCATGACTCAGAAGCGGCTGCAGAAAGCATTCCTCTGTCTACAGGAAACAACAGCAACAACAGACCAAATACTAAAACCAAATTTCAATGACCTGCCACCTAAAACCATACCACCTTTCAAGAGAGACAGCTGGCACATCCAGCTGTGAATTATATTCATTTGCAGCGTTACACACAACGGCATGGCTCTGACCTAAAAACAACCAGCTTAGAAACACAGCCAGGCAAGCGGACGCCCATAGAGTGCTCCTACTTCAGTCTTGCATCTCCTTGCCCCACAGAACACCAGGTCTAATAATAGCTGCATACTGGAATGCAGACATCTGAATTAACCCACTGTGTTTTGAAATGGGAGAAGCTCTTCTTTAGCAAACAGCTCGGTCCAAAATAATGGCTTTGATAAAACTCCCACTGCCATCTCTTACTAGAGTCGATCTTTTCTGATCTTTTGTGAGCCCAAAGGAAGATTCAGGACTTCCTGTTCTGCAGCTGACTTGGTGCTGCAGTAATAGTGAACAGAGTGGCGCTTAGTGAGCTAACTTACACAGACTGAGAGAGACCCAAGACCAGGGACTGCCATCACAAAGTCCATGCGCCCCTTTGAGCCTGCAAGGCAGGGGTAGGCAATGGATGGCTCTCCAGGGTTGAACTGCAAGTCCCATCAGCTGCAACCAGCACAGCCAATGGTGAGGGATGATGGGGAGTGCAGTCCAAGAACACAGAAAGGGCCACAAATGGCTCACTTTTGTCCTGGAGGAAAGGAGTGGGAGAGAGAAGAGGCCGGAAGGAAGACGAGACAACAGGAGGAAGAGGTTGTTTCTCATAGAATTATCTTGCAAAGCTATATCGGATTTTTAGGTTAAAGGTATGATGAGTTGGGTTTCATTCTGACCAAAATGCCATCTTGCAGTTATTTTATTCAAGGAGTGGTCAAAGTCACAAGAGTGTGTTATTTTTGTTCTGATCACCTGAGTGGGATTAAGGCATTGTTCTATGGACATACATGATGCCTAACTCAGCCTTTGCTAGCTATTGTTTATTTCTTAAGCCTGCCTAAAACAGTACTTTTCACTTCAATTGTTTTTATAAATGTTGTGGGTTTATGCATCAGAAGGGGTGGTATGAATATTGTGATATACACCTCCTTCAGACCCCTGTCCCCCATTCTGCCATTCCACGATTACCCCATTTATGACCATCCATTGAGCAGATCTCAACATTAGGCATTTTCAGTCGCTGCTCTAAAATCAAACCAAGCATTCTTTTAGTTTTGTCCTCCTAAACCAGAGGCTAAGAATTATTCCCTCTGGATCCTGGAGAGATGCAGAGGCCAGGAACCCCTTTGGATAGTCACATGTGTAAATGATGTGCCTGGTCATACCAGTGCTGCAACTTTGGCTCTGCCTGCCATAAGACCAAAGCTGATTCTGGCCAGAGAAATTATGTCATGCAGGTAATATTTATACAATCCTTTACTCTGTGCTTGCATGGTAAGAAAAGAAAAATGCACTGAAACAAAACATTACAGAAGTCAGGAACTGCCATCAGCATTCTGTTACTAGCCAGGCAGCAACTTGGGGACTATCTGATATTATATTATTTGGCTAATCTGGATTTTCTATCACCAAGATTCAGCTCTCAAGACAAGTCAGATGAAGTCAAGGAAGGATTAAATGCGGAAATACAAGTTTATTGGCATCCTGAGAACTTCAAAGCCTTCTTTTTCTGGTTTTTCAAGAATTCTATTTGCAACGTGTTCTGAAGTAAAGATTTAAAAAAAAAACATGTTTGGAATGGGTAATCTTGATGGGTCTCTATTTTATAGTGAAACAAACGGGCCCAAAGCAGGGTCGATAAAAATCAACATTTTTTTTTAAGTTTGAATTTTTAAAAAATAATTTTAAAAAACCTTAGGTTGTCGAAAAGAATCAGATTTTTAAAAACTTAAATCATGATTTAAACCACGATTTAAATCAATTTGGTTTAAATCTATTTGATTTAAATAAAATCCAGCCTGGGCAATCCTATCACGAACAGTGATAGGATTTTTGAAAAAGTAAAACAAATAACTGTGGAAAAAGCTCCAGGCAATACCTCAATTAATGCATCATGGCATGCAACTAACGAGCACACCTGATTAAAAAACAAAACACAAAGTTTGCAATGGGCTGGCAAACCACAGTTTGCTGTAACTACTATTTAACCTGACACTGATGAACCGGAGTTCTGATTGTTGCTGGAGGCTGCACATACTAAGCAGACATAAAATAAAAGCAGAAAAGCAGCGTTTGAATTCTGATGAGTGGCTAGCACACAAGTCAGAGCTTCCATATGTCCAAACAGAAACACAGGGTGCAATCAGACGGGAAATAGCTTGCGCCTTGGATCACCTGTGGCACAATCTGACGCAAGCTATTTTCTGGTGATGCAGGACACGTAAGAGATTACGAACCAGCCAGACCCTGCTGCACGCCGAAGCTGGACCTTTTTTGGAGTTGGACTGCAGTGACTGCTCTATACATGAAAGGGAGATTGTTCCTTGCAAAGTGATATTTTCCAGCATGATCAGACGCAATATATCAGTGAAGATTCTCAGTCATCTAGGTGAGGTTATCTGGAAGTTGAGTCATGGCAGCTGGACTTCTTTCTTATTAAGCGAAAACGTTTTGCTGCTCATCCGAGTCACTTCTTCAGTCTGAGGAGAGTTGGTAGGAGACCCCTGATACGTCCTCCACGTTGGTTCCACTTCCCCCTGGTCCGAACAGGTTCATTAGATGCACTCACCCCAGGTCCTTTGTTCATCTAACAAGCCTATTCAGACCAAGGGGAAGAGAAACCAAGGTGGGTCTCCTACCAACTGTCTTCAGACTGAAGAAGCTACTTGAATGAGCAGTGAAACGTTTCAACTTAATAAGAAAGAAGTCCAGTTGCCATGACTCAACTTCCAGGTCAGACGAGATGCTTTCTTCACATCTGGTATCATCTACAATTATCAGCCTTGGTCCCAGTTCAATGGACTAAATCAGGGATGGCAAATAACTGCATGCGGACTGTGCATCTGAACATGAACCAGCAGAATGGTTCCTTGGGTGAGACTTGGTGCAACGGCTGTGCAATTTCAAGTTATGCAGGTGTAGCTATGCAACAGGATTTCAGCCATTGGGGACTACTAAATTTGGGCTCACTCAACATTCTGCACTCTATACATGCACCAAGGCATCTTCAATGTTTAGCGTTTAGGGAAGCACTTTCTATAAATGCTAAAGGACAGCGAGACAACAACTCCCACCATCTTCCACACCCAGGAAGGCCTGGCCTCCTGCTGCATCATGAGATGGAGGGGAGGTTGACCAGCGAGACGTGGAGGACGGTGAAAACTATACTCTCACTGCCAATTAGCCTCTACAAAAGGTGCCTCCCAAGCTGAGTCCCAACAAGCACAATGGTAGGAAGGGGGAGAGTGAGAAAAAATGAAGACAGTGTCAGAAATAAATAACTCAAAAACCTTTTTCTAGAGAGTTAAAATCTACTTGCCTGCAGGTCTGTACTTTCGGACTACAAGTCCCAGAATTCTGACTGGGAATTGCAGTCCAAACCCACTAAAAACACACCACTGTTTATATATCAAATCCAGCACCTTTAGTAACATAAAAACTGCCAGTGAAACTCCTTAAAGAGCCAGTGATGTTGTAGTTCCACAAAGCTGAACCAGTCAACAGTGGTATGGCTACATTCTGCAAAAGAGGCAGTCTTAAGCTGCCAACTTTGATGGGATTTCTAGCTTACCTACCTTAAATTTTCTGAACTTCACCTAAATTGAAAGAAGTCCCCCAAAGACATCTGGAATACTTCTCTTCTCTGCTTATTTATTTACAGGAAAGATAATTGAATACTGAAAGGACACAGGATTAAACTCAGATATAGTCTTGAAGAACACAGACTGAAATCTTGTTCTTTTGTGATTTAATCAATAAATAGCAGATCTGAAGATAGTCTGAAGGATCTTGATTTAATTTTGCTTCTTTTGAGTAAACTATCAGGTATAGTGAGTAAATTAACTGGAACTGATTTGGAGGCAAAAGGTATGTGTTGCATTCATTCAAGCAGAAAGACCTTACTGCTTCAAGTTCCATAGAAATATATACTGTATATTTAAAAAATACTAAAGTAGAAATGTTTCCAAAATTTGCTGGAGTTTGAAAGAGCCGGTCCTAATTAGTACTGCATAAACCCCTAGGAGAATTCCCCAACCTTTATCTGCAGGGTCTATTCCACTTGTAGCATTTTAGAATTTAATAACAGAAGAAGCCACCAGAATCATTAGAGGTGAACTACAGCATCCAACAAATCCTTTCAAAATCTAGACCTCAGTATTTTTAATACAAAAGTTACATGACAGACCTTACATCATAGGGCACCTTGAGCAAAGAACAGATAAATGAAGCAATTTTCTAAGCTTATCAAGCCTCCAATGAGGAGGGATGCCAAGAGGCAGAATGCTAGACTTCTATTGTAGACGGGAAAGTGGTGGAAACGGACAAAAGCGAATCAGCCACTCAGCATTCCCCAAAATAATATGCTGTAAAAAATATGTTCGAAAACAAAGATATTAAGCTAACATTAATGTTTTATTGATATATATCCTGTAGGTGTCTCTAAGTCAGTAAAAAGCACTCTGGAAGCTTTTTCAAAGGGCAACTAAAACAAGAAAAGACAAGATTTTTCACCTGTCGGCAAACCTGCCTCCTGTCTGTAGCCCAGACTGAAGACAAACAAAGGCAAAATCCATAGGGAATGCATGGCAGAAAACCACGAAGATCAATGAATCAGTCAAAATGATATTCCCTTGAGCAAGGCCACAGGGTGAGGACCTGTTCTAATGCTTAAGGGAAAGACTAGGGCATCTTATACTGGGAGGAATCAAATGAAGCATTCCCACCCCTGCTCTAGCAGTGGATTGAGGCACCCTAAGGACATCTAGACAATGTTTTGAGGCTGACAAGTCTTATATCAAGCTAGGGAGGGCCAACTGACAACGAGGGATGTGACTTTTTAATGGGGTGGGTAGGGGATTCCAAAAAGAGGCGCTTTCTGTTCCACCAAATTCATAATACACACAGCTTGTATTAACAAAACAAGGGTTCAGAAAGATTTTGGCTTTTTCATGTCCCCCCCCCCTTTGTTTATCCTTTCTGTCATCCTCTGTCAAATTGCCCAGGGAATTTTTCATCTGATACCACGGCGAGGGTTGCTGTCAGGAGCCAATCAAAATGCTGACAGGGGATGGAAATGCTGAATCTGTAAAAGGGCCTGGGCTGGCTGGATCCCAGTGAGGAGTGCTCCCTTTGGGCTTCAGTTGTTCCTTGTAGATGGGATTACTCTGTGCTAAACTCCTGGTGCATCCTTTCATTTTATGCCTCTCCCACCCCTATTTTTAGGTGCATTCCACCTCATTTCTTGGGATTATTTTTGCCATTGCTGCCAGGTGGTCTGCCACTGCCAACATGCCTCCTTTCTTTGGAGATTTCCCCCCTCTTTGGCCCTGTCTGCTGGACTGAAAGGAGGCATCAAATGGTGGGGGAGAGAGAGAGAGATCTCCTGATATTCTAGTCATTTTGGTGGGTGATGGAGGATTGCATTGTCCACCTTATTTGCTTTTCTTTGTTGTTGGAAGGCGGGGGGGGGGGACTTAAAAATCAACTTTCTCCCCTGTGCATGTATGTGGGGAGTGGTTTCCCTGTCAAATTTACTTTTTAAGAATTCTTGTTTGTTCTTTTTGAAAAAGAAAAAAAGAATTGCTCTATACAATTCTTGATTTTTTGTTGTTTGCATATGTACAAATGGCCTTCACAGACACCCTGGCACCACCTCAAATGGAAAAGCAGACTCCCACTTCTTTTCTGGAGTCACAGGGAGATTTCAGAATAAAGCATATTTTCTGAATATGGCTTTTGTCTTTTTCAGAATATATTCCATGTTCTGCACTTAAATGAAGAGTTGCCTACACTGGAAACAGCATTTCAAAAAGTGGCCTTCAAGTGAAGCAAAGAATGAAGACTCACCTCATCGCAGTCTCCTTCTACCATGGCATAAATAGCTTTCTTAACCAAGTTTGTACCTAGATTGAAGAATAAAAGCAATAAAATTAAACTACAGGTACAAGTTATCTGAATGCAAATTATCTCCTACCCTGCAGGCTACGTTGTTACACAGGAAATGTAAGGATAATGTAAAATCAATAGCAAATTCACAGCAAGATCCGGCTTCATTGTGGATATTGTATAGGATGTAGGTTACTGTAGAAGACTTTCTAGCTGACCTAATAGCTTAGTGAATTAAGTACCTGGCTGCAGAGCCAGCGGCTGGGAATTCAATTCCACACTGTTCCTTGTGGGAGAAAAGCCAGCCTTGTGTGGTTTTGAGCAAGCTGCACAGACCCAGGGCACCCCCAGAAGAAGGGAAGGGTAACCCAAATTTACTTCTGCCTACCTTTAAAAAAACCCTAAAAAGGGTCACCATAAATCAGAATTGACTAGACAACATGCACTTATTTAGAAGACTTTCACCATCTGTGCAAAAAAATACACACACCACAGCTGCATCAAGATGGAGTAAAACATTTCCTGTCATCATATTCAAATTCAATGTGTCTGATTTTATCTTTTTTTTTCACCTGAGCAGGTTCAAAAACTTTCCAGAAAAGGGTGCCATCTAGATTGGAAAAGGATGAAAGCCAAGGAACATCCATACCATTCTGTTTCTTTTTTTTTAAAACACACTTCTACTGCTTCTCTGCTGGTGTTTTCATATGCAAAATAAACCTGAAGTAAGATACTTCTAGCACTCCCCAATTTGTCACATTTCCTTTGTTACTGTGGCCAGATTATTTCTGCCCATCTCATAAAGATGTTTCACGGCAAACTAGCTGCCTGAAAATTATCCACTGTATATAAATAAGGTAGGCCAGGCTTGATTCAGCCACTAATCAATGAAACTAAAAAAAAAAGTTTCCCCCGTAATGCAAAAAGCAGGGACACAGCTTTTGCCTCCCAAGAGTTGCTGCTGGGGGCAGAAAGCACTGAATTGCCCTAAAGAATATTTCGACTAATTTCCGTTAAATGCATATGGCTGACATGCTTCTCATTTTCATAAACACAAGATGTACTGAATGACTTTAACTCTATTACAACCAAAACATGACATTACTTTATGAGAGGAAAAATTACAACATATATACCTTGCCCTTCCTCCAGAATTGATCTCAAGGGCCACACAGAATCATAAAATAATGAAGCTGGAAGGGGCCTAGAAGGCCATCCAGTCCAACCCCCTGCTCAATGCAAGAATAAAGAATAAATTAAAGCATATCTGCCAGGTGATTATCGAAGTCTTTTTTTGCATGCCTGCAGTGTTGGAACACTCACCAATTCCTGAGGTCACCGGTTCCACTGTCGTACTCCTCTAAGAGTTAAAAGGTTTTCCTGATATTCAACCAAAATCTGGCTTCCTTTAACTTGAGCTCATTTTTGCGCATCCTGCACTCTGGGATGACTAAGGACAGATCCTGACCCTCCTCTGTATGACAGCCTTTCAAATATTTGAAAAGTGCTATCTTATCAGCCCTCAGCCTTTTTTTCTCAAGGTTAAACATGCCCAATTCTTTCAGCCTTTCCTCATAAGGCTTGGTTTCCAGCCCCCTGATCATCCAATGCTCAAGGTGAGGCCCAACCAGTGCTGAACAGAGGGGGACTAGCACCTCGCGGGATTTGGAAACTATACTTCGATTAATGCAGCCTAAAATAGCATTAGCCTTTTTTTGTAGCCACATCACACTGTTGGCTCATATTCAGCTTGTGATCTATGACAATTCCAAGATCCTTCTCACTCGTTGTATTGCTGAGCTAGGTATCCCCCATCTGGTTTCCTTTTACGAGGTGCAGGACTTTGCACTTATCCATGTTGAATTTCATTCTGTTGCATTTGGCCCAGTGTTCCATCCTATCAAGGTCATTTTGAATTTCATTTGTCTTCTAGGGTATGAGCTATTCTGTCCAATTTGGTATCATCTGTAAATTTGACAAGCATTCCCTGCACTTTCTCATCCGAGTCATTAATAAAAATATTGAAGAACACCAGGCCCACAGTACAGTTTTCAGGCACTGAAAAAAATCATCAATACGTCTGGCACATCCTATGCTTCCACACTGTGCCCTAAGAATCTGTGTGACATGGAAATCATGGAAAGTCGAAGGTAACTGACAAATCAATTTAGTAGCCCATTTCCCTCTTTTGTGTGAGACACAATTGTTTAAATTCAACTCAGAAACCCAATAACCCCTGGATTTTCCCAGGTTAAGAACCTATGAACAACATGGAGATGCAGAAGGGCTGAAAAGTTCCCCAACCTAAGAGCAATAAGGATCGAAATAATCTATTACCCAGAAGGGTGCATGCCAGCCCTTCATCTTGAAGGGACAACTAGCCAGCAATATTACTTTTAGGAGAGTTCTAGGACAACACAAGGGCTATTCTTACCTATGCCTTTTCTTCTGTATTTGGAATCCACCGCTAACATGGCTATGTAACCTCTGCGAAACATCTTTTTGTGCATATCCAACTTGCAAACAATGGCACCTACACATTCGGCTCCTACCATTGCCTTAAAATAAAAGAGAGAGAGAAACAAACCCAAACATATTTTTGTAGATTAAGAAGGGAATAGAAACATCATAAACTCCAGAACCCCAAAGGCTTGAAAAAAAAAAAGACTGCATTCTTGATAGTATTTTCTGAAAACATGCATGCACCTGCCAGTGGCAAACAGAATACACTGCATGTGTGGTTAACTAGCAAGTTCCAGGTAAAAGAGGCAACGCTACCCTCGTTTCATTGACAGGAATTTTAAAATAGGCTGAACGGAAGGCGGATTGGATAGGACTTTCTCTTTTCCTCCAACCCCTTTGTGCTCCTTGTACCTCCCCCGTAAGCCACCATGAAAGTCACAGGAACTTTCTTTAATAGCAGGGGTGAGGTCAAGAAAAGAAGCAGTGGGAACTTACAGCCCATAGAAGTGTCCTTGTGCAGTTTTGCAGCCCCTGTCATTCGTTTCCAATAAAATCAAAGTACAGGTACAAGTTATTTTAATGCTAATGAGTTTAGGTGGAAGGAACCCCACTTGGGAAGCACAGGGAAGTCTTGAAAGGGGCAGAGAAGTCTCCTTCCACAAGCTTGTTTCTGCTACTTTGCATCCAAAGGCACTGACCGCAACTCTGCAGGGGTGAATCCAAGCCTTACTCTGTCCAGAGACTTCAAAAAACTGTAGCTGGGATCAGGCATCACTGATTTAATATGACACTTGGGTGTGTTCCTTTTACTTGCATGAAGAGCAATGAAATTATCAGGAGAAAATACGTAACCTAAGTATTATTTTAATTACAAAGGTGAAGTCATTATATAAAGACTGACATCTTCCCATTAGTTACTCAAACAGAGCCCAAGGAAGAACTCTGGAGTCTATTCTGGATTAACTGGTCTAAGGATTTGGCAGGGGGAGGGGTGGGGAGAGAGACAGGAAAAACCCTTTATACTGTACTCTGAAATAACCAAAACGGTATTTTGAAATGCAGTTGTGGATGAGCGAAATTTCACTTCTCTTTATCATGAACACCCCACACTCTTGCTCACATTCACCATTGATTCTTTTTTTGTTGTTGTTCTTGTCTCAGAGAACAATTTACTCCATTAACTCCCACTCTCTCACACATCCCTCTTATTTATCACCTACTATAAACAATGGCATCAGAGTCTTTGTGCTTTTAAAATGCTATTGATCGGTCCAATCTTAAATACTAGTCTGAAGTTAACCACACTTTTCTGAATTCGAGTTTTCAATCCTTTGCAACAAACATGTAATTAAAAATCTTAAGAGACAGGAAACAAAAACACTGCAAAAGAAAACAGAGGTTTTAAGGATGTTTTAAACATGATAAAAGCATAAAGAACATACAAACAATTATTTTCAGTATAGATAAGGGGAAATATATAAATCCAAAATGATTAATACTTTCAGGCAAAATTGACACCATGTTCTTCTCAGACTTCTATTTATACCTACATACTACAGATATTTCCTGAGCAACAGGACAATATTGAAACCCACCCACAGAGTCTCAGGTTTGCACAAATCCTTGTATTTATTTGTTCATGGTAAAGATAGTAGCCTTAAAATTCAAACTGATTTCATTCACATTTAAGAAGCAGTAACAAGTGTTATCTTGGTTTGTACAGGACTCACTTTCATGTTCTGAAGTGGAAATAATCCATATACTAAAACCACTTCAGGCAGAAACTTTGCCAACGACTGGCAAATTTTGTGTGCGTGTGTGTGCATGTGCACACGCATCTGCATAGCAACCTACGTCAAATTTCTATCACACTGTAGACAATTCTTTTATCAGAGACACTAATGGGGAAAATACATGATCTCTTGGAATCAGGAAGCTTGATCAACTATCAACCCTGGTCAAATCACAGCTGAGCACTCTTAAGTCCCAGCAACTTCAGTAAGACAGCTTTAAGAAAGTGTTAAAACTGTCCCACTGAGATGAATGGGGCACCTCTCCTGCATCCTTTTCCAACAGATGTATTCATGTAGCGAGTTCAAGGTCACACGCACACAGTATATAACATGCTTTCTCGCCCTCCTAAGATATACAGAATGTAAAAGTAGGGTGATCACAACTGGCTACTTGATCTTAAATATGTTTATGTTGGCATACACCGTATGTATTTTGTGCCATCGCAGTGGCATGGCTTTTCTATGAAATTCCATCCTTACTCCAATTAAAAATATCAGGAATGAGAAGCGGGAACAGCATATTTTATGATGCAACAACATCCTGGCCACATTGTGATCTAGACTATATGACATTTCCAGCTGCCTTTTTAAAGACTATTCGTGAAGAAGTATTTATTGTGCTAATGTGCAGGCCCCATTTAAATATAAATATACTTTAAAAAGACACTAATTATATGACTATCAACAATGTAAAGACATATAAATTACTATCTTCTATTCAAAACATTATCCAGAAATGAAGCTAGAGCTGTGTAGTGCAGATAAGGTGACTAGATCTATTGAAAAATGTGATAAATACTTTAAGGTGGTGGTACTGTACGTTAGGAGCTCTGCATGACCAGCCCTGCAAATGACGTCTGATACTCGGCATGCTGAAAGGACACTAAACACCATCTATTTTGCCGTGAACAAACTTTTAACAGAGCTTCCACCCGTGGTTTGTTAGTATGATGCCCAAACCCCCCAAACATTTCAGCCTGTCTCTTCCCTATTACCCAGAGAAATAATACTAGGCATGCTGAAAGGACACTAAACACTATCTATTTTGCCGTGAACGAACTTTTAACAGAGCTTTCACCCATGATTTATTAGTATGATGCCCAAACCCCCCAAAACATTTCAGCCTGTCTCTTCCCTATTACCCAGAGAAATAATCCTACCAACATAGTCAACAACTAACTATGGAAAGAAAGAAATGTAAACCCAGCTGAGAGCAAATAACTCTGCAGCCATGTGTTCTTCCTTTACACAGTCAACAGCTCAATTCCTGAATCACTTTGGCCTGGAAACCGGAGTTATTGGTACATGTTTCCACTCAGGCAGCTAAATGAAGACCACTTTGGTTGAAGAAGATCAAAACTGACTTCTAAAACTTATCTTCATGCCAGACACTTCACTGGTGCCATGTATAAAACCGTGGTTTAGTGATCAGAAACATGCAACAGATTTTTATGATCCCACTTTTTCCTTTCATCTATGCAGACTGTTGAGTATTTGCCATTATTTGCTGTGACATCTACTAAAGCAAACGATCCATGGAAGGAAAGGGGTGTCCGTGAGAAGAAAAGGAACACTGAATGTGGGGACACTTTTATGATTCCCAAATTATAATTTGTAGACTAGGCTAATGGGACTGCTGAACCAGACTAATATTCTGAAAACTCAAGGTACAATTAAACTGTGGGTTCACAGAACTATTACCATTTAAATTCTCAATCTATTGAAAGTATGTCTATTTAAGGCAATGCCATGTTTTGTACTGTATCTGCACAAGAATTAACATTCAGTATTGATAAGACTTAGCTTCCTAGACATTTAAAGATATAAGCAACAGAAAGAAACAGTAAACTATTACCATCAATTAAATGCTTAATTAAGAAGAGGTCTGTTATATTTAGTTGTTTAAAATATTTTTGCTCCACCTCTCTCCCATACTTATTTGAATAATCATAGAGTTATTAAAACTCAATTGCAAAAAAAATTAATTCTGCTAGAGACTAATTAACATATAGACCTAAGGATCTTGCAACATTATTATTCTGACGGTACTTAACAAACAAAAGCCATACAATGTAGAAAGAACATTTATACTTTACATTAAGACTTTCCACAGAGCTATTGGTTCTGGTACACATTAGGTGAAATCCTCTTTGCAGTTGTATATGCGCAACAGTTGTGATGTCAGTAGCAGCAAACTGCTGCTGATTTAAGGCACTCTGTGGGCATTTGGGTTATATGCTATGTACGAGTCGGATACACCCCCAAAACCGCCTTTAATCAGCAGTGCCGCTCACAATGATATGTGGAGCTGTAGTAAAGTATTTCAGCCATTGAAACCGAAATGCAGTGTTTGCTTCCTATCTTCATAACTTTCTCTCTTCATAACTAGAGATTTGCTGCGTGTCCTAGTATAGCTTTCTGGAAAAATCATACCTACAAATTAATATTTAGAAACTTAGCCCAATAAGCACATGAACTTTGCTGAACGACAATATAGCCTGATTTAAGTTAAAACATTTGATCACTTTTCTTAAAAGGAGATGCCTGTGAACACCCTCAGCACTTTGACAAAATTTAACATGAAGCAAGATCCTGTTTCCCCTAAAATTAGACAGGAACTTATATTATTTTTTGCTCCAAAAATGCATTAGAGCTTATTTTCAGGGGATGTCTTATTTTTTTTCATGTACAACAATTTATATTTATTCAAATACAGTCCTGTCATCATCTTTTGGTTGCTGCACAAGGGTGGGAGGTGGGGTTTCACATAATTGGGGCTTATTTGGGGGGTAGGGCTTATATTACGAGCATCCTGAAAAATCATGCTAGGGCTTATTTTCAGGTTAGGACTTATTTTCGGGGAAACAGAGTACTAAAACATGCTGACCAGTTTTGTTTCAAATGCTAAGCTAGTTGTTTCCAAAATCTCATACCCAATAAATAACACTGATTAAGATCTCCTGCAGCTGTACGCCAGGGCTGTGTGATTCATATAGCAAGAGCAAAAGAGATGAACACTTTATACACATGCTGCCAAACACTGAAGATTCTTCTTAAGCCACCAATTTGATTTCCCGCCCTGTCAACTATTTTCATTTGCCCATCATTGGACCTTGCTATGTTTGTACACATCAGAAGTTGATATTGGTCTGTGTTACCAGTGGTTCATAAAAATCAGGGACAACTCAGATGAGTCGTGTAAGATCCACAGGTAATTTCCCCCACACTCTAGTAAAGATCAAGGGAATACTCTACTAGGACTAAGAATCACCATATTAAAAATGTACCAAGACGTTCATATGCAATTATCTACTAAAGATCAAAAGCAGCCTATCACAGCCTTCTAAATAAACCTCTTCTTTATTTTTCATTTTTACTATTTATACTGATTACAGAACTACGAAAAGAACTGGCTTTCTACTGAGCATAGCCTATCTCTACACTTCAGTTGTACATTCTCTAGGAATAGCCACCTTGCGTCCTTTTAAGGAGAAAGCTAGGTTAAAAATATTTTAAATAAATTATATTTTAAATAAATTATATATATAATAAACAGCAAAGATTCAGTCTTCAAATTATTGTACATATGCCTCCATAAAAATAAGGAGAACTGAGGTCTAACCATGGAGATGATTATCCAATCTGTTATTCTGTACTAAAATGGAACATCAATACTTTTTTAGGTAACAAATTCGTAATATATATATATGGGGTGGGTAATCCAGCTGTTTCTGGACTGTGACTTTCCGGTTAATGATCAATACAGCCAATGGTGAAGAAAGCTAGTATTTGTAGTCCAAGGACATCTGGAGGGCTATGCTTTCCTCACTCAATCTATAGTATACAGGAGACAGCTGATTAGGCTTGTGGGTTTTTCTTTTATCATCCTACCCCATTCTTTACAGCTACACTTCAAAAGAAAGCCACCAGAAGGCCATCCTCACACCCCTTGATCTAGCAGATGCACCAATAGCCTTGTGGCACGGTGATGGTTAAGCTGCTGTACTGCAGCCAAAACTCTGCTCACGACCTGGGTTCAATCCCAGGTAGCCAGCTTGAAGATGACTCAGCCTTCCATCCTTCTAAGCTCAGTAAATTGAGTATTCCACTTGTGGGGAGGGGAGCACTGTGTAGCCTGCATAATTAAATCATAAACAGCCCAAGGGTGCTTTAAGTGCTGTGGGGTGGCATATAAACAGCACCTTTTTTATTACACTAACTCTGCTCCAGAAAACCTTACAGATGCATCAAGTATTAACTTGCTGCTGTCTCCTATTTTAGCATTCTGAAACCTTTCCATAGTGTCGGCACTCCATCAGTTATCATACGCCCAAATAATATCAAGTCCTTAAAAATCAAATTAAATAAGCCAAAGAAGAATAAAGATAGCACTTAATGTGGAGACTGTGAAAACATACAGTTCTCAAATATATTAAAAGGTGAGAAAACAAGGAAATGTCTAAGGGAGAATATGAACTTACTCCAATACCAGTAACATTTAAAAACATTTTTGTACAGACCAAATTATTTATATACTGTATATAAACTGTGTCAAGTGGAACTTTGGTCCATGAAGTGCCATGGCACACCCATTTTAGACATATTTAAATGAGTTTAACTGCATTTAAGATATAACGCTAGATTACATTAATCAAATGCTGCAGTAAAAAAAGAAAGACTAAAGAAAATCTGGGCTAAAATGTTATGGTTTTAGGACTTACACTTCTCAAAAATCTGCTGCACAAATAAAGAAGGCACTGAAGGTGACAGTTATTAGGTTTATCAAATCAAAACTGGGGGAGAGAATGCTGAAACTCAAATCAAATAAAGAAAACATTGACAATTTAGGAACGTACGTGACCACTCCCACATATTCGGAGAATCAGCAGTATCAGTATTCTCTGAATGTGACAGCCATTTAGTAGGCTGGTTTCTGAGAACTGCTAGGCAGAGAAAGTTAATCTTGCACCGCTCATGAATGTACAGGTTTCTGAGCTTTACAGAATTGTTCATTAGTTGCATTTGAAATAAACTGAACCATAGGAGTCAATAAACTGCTAGAGAGCTCAGTGGCTCAGGTCTTTGGCTGCAGAGCCAGAGATTGGAAGTTTGATTCCCCATGGGGCTCAACCTGATGATGAGCCACAGGGTCCCTTCCAGCTCTGCCAGTTCTAAGATTACTATTATAAACCTATTTTTTGTACCACTGAGTTCACCAACCACAAGAGCTCAATAGTGGACAAATGAGGTGCGCCCTTCCGAGCACCGTTTATCTCCTGCACCCCATTCATTGTGTCCCCCCCAAAAAATCCTGCATCACATATTCTGAATCTTCTTCCCAACCTCCACCCCCAACTTACCAAAAAGCAAAGCTGAGGCCAGTTGTGGATAAAATACCTATATGTGTAAATGGAGTAGGGTTCAGACAGATCTTTGGTGATCAGTCTCATGATATCTGGCATCTGTAGCTCGGATTCATAGCGGACATATCGTATCGTCAGGTCCCCTTGCTCCTCCTCGACTTGCTGCGGGGCCCAGGAAGAGTCCGTCAGGGGGCATTTTTGCAAACTGCAGCTGGAGGCCAAGGACCTGGAGAGAAGCAGCAGGGAGTCTTCCTCCTCCTCCTCTTCCTCCCTCTCTAACTCCTGCTCCTGCTCTCCCGCGGCCAGGGGAGCCAGCCCATTCCTGTCCCCAGCCGAGGGGGCAGAAGCCTCGGGGTGGTGGGGGTGACGCTGTGGCTGCTGCTGCTGGGGGGGCTGTGCAGTCCTTGCCGGGGGGCAGGCTACCCGGTGGTGGTTGCGGAGTGAAGGGGGGCAAGGCGACCTCTCCCGCTCCCCTTCCCCTGCCTCCTCCTCCCGTTGTTGTTGTTGTTGCTGCTCCTGCTGTGGCGGGGTCTCCTGGCCGTGTCCCATCGCCTTGCCAGGGCTGTCGCCGCTGTGGCTGGCCCCGCTCTCCTTCCGGCCGGGCGGGTGCTGGCTCTCCCCTCCGCCGCTGTTCAGGACCTTGCCCTTGAGGGAGCTCCGCAAGTGCCTCAGGTCGGGGCCCGCGATGAGCCCGTTGAGCTGGTGGTTGCGGCGGGGAGGCGGGCGCCGGC